GATATGTAGACAAATTTTGTTTAAACTTAAAGTACTGTTTTGTATGATACAACTAGACCATAGGACGGTTAGTTTTCCAACGCACTAGATTGTCGTCTTGGCTTAATTCCGTTTTCGCTTACCAGTGGATGAGGGGGGAAGTGTGGTGGTCACCTGGATAGATACTGTTTAATTGTACATCCAATAAAATGACACTCGGACAATAAATTAAAAACTATATTATCTAAGATTATACAATGAGTAACTGTAGTTTAGCGTGTATTGGGAGCGCCTTTAGATACTAATGAAGCGGCAATGATCAATATAGACGGACTCGACTAAAACAAAATAATAAATAACATTGAAAACCAACACTGAATAAATGAAGTCGATGATAGCGTATGAGTTGTTATGGTAAAACTTGTTGGCTCCGCAGTGTGCGGCAAAGGACGAGCACAAACGCAGTAGGCACCGAATGTAAGAACCACAAAGGTCGTGTAGAACTCGTAGCGTGTAGGTGCAAGGCATGCAATGGTGGACGACAGGGGACAGCAGAAAAGCTGTTTGGACGGTAAATCTTCTTTGGTTAGGGTTCATTCACTGAAAGTGTGTAAGAGCGCGGCAATTTTAAGAGCTTGAACACAAGGGTGCAGCACAACAAATAGTAAAATTATGGCGCACAATTGGACAGCCAAATGGAGGCGCCTGCTGTAAAGAGTGACGCATGAAAATATTCATACGCTGACGTATGACGGTGAGTTGGACACGGTGGGCAATTGACGCGTTGCTTTGCCGTGGTGGGACATCAGACGGTAGGTAAGCAAGACACTAGTTGTCATGATCTCAACGGCGATAATGGTAACTGGTCCAGTAGGTCTTTGTTAAAAGCGCTCTCTACATCAATTATCTTTATATAGCTTTAATTTGATGTAATGTTAAAAGGCCGGAACGCTGTCTTAAATGAAAAAAACATGATGTATTTTATGACAGTCCCTGTACTAAAAATATCGAACGAATTTAAAAGAAAAGTATATCAAAATAAATTATCAGTATTATTACTATTCTTTCTCGATGTGCACATTGATTTGAAAAAGAGTTTTTGGAACAAAGTTTACACAACTTAATGAAATTTGAATTATTTTTAACAGAAATAAAATTGAGGACAATTTAAAAACTTTTGAGAGTAATGTTTTTATAAGAATTTATTCGTTTTTTATTGAATACTTGAACGATTTAAGTCAAATAAAAGCAGCGTACACGGAATGATAGAAAGAAACTCGCTATATTAAGTTCAATCCCTTTTAAACTTACGCAATAAAACTCAAAAGAATATTATCAAGTTATTATTTTAAATATAATTTTTTTTTTTTTTACAACCGTTAGGTTGGTCAATACCAATTGGATTGGTATGTCCTGGGAATATTTAAATGCAGTGGTTTCCCGTTGCCTTCTGCACTGGGAACATGGTGCTTTTTCGCCACCGTAGAAGCGCACGCATGGTCACCCATCCGTTCACCTACGGCAGTAGGCGCGGCTTAACATTAGAGTTTTGTCAACAACTAGTGTGATCACCGCGCCACACCACGCCCAAGTTATAATTTCAGAAAGGCTAACAAAATTTTTTAATTTTTAAATTATAGTGTAAATATGCAAGCAAAATTCTTATATAGACTAATAAATCTTTAACATATGCTTTAAATATTTGCTTAAAATAGAAAATATGTTGAAAAATGACAAAACATAAAACTGTTCAATAATTATGAATAATATGTTGTAAAATGTAAAATTTTCAAATAGATACTTATGGTCTTTTATTCATTTACTTAATATAAAGTCAAAATACATTTTTTTATGTACAACTTAAATACATTTTATTTAAATAGAAGCGTCAATTCAAATTCAGAGTAGTGTCTTTTATGCAAGTTCAATTATTAAAGGCGTTGTCTTTCGCTAAAATATAACTATTTGTAATCCTTAAAAATGTTATCATTTACACTGCCTAAAATTTGTTTATTTATTTTTTATTTCGTATTGCTCATTAAAGCAGAAAAGAGTAGTAAGAATAAAAGGGATATTTTAATTAGTCTTTTCAAAAATCCTGGATGGAAAAATTTAAATGACGTACATAAAGTTTCACTTAGAAAAAAAGATTATTTTTTAGAAAAGATTATTGATACTTCTAATATAAATATAGATAATACCAATACTAAAGTAAGAGCTGCAACTCTCATACTTTCTTGTTCGTATGCGAATGATTTGAAGATGATTTTTTTTATTCTCCAACATTTTTGTGATGCTTGCGAAAATTTACCTGGAAAAGATAATGATATAACAATCAAGTTCAATTGCTTAATGAGACTTGTGAAATCAATAGAAAATCTAAAACTATTAGCTACGTTATTAAAAGGAACATTATACCTGTTGGATTTATTACATGTATATCGATGGAATACAGCTAAAAAGACTGATTTTTTTTTTAATTATTTGTTAATTAAACTAACAGAAGTTCAAAAAATTTTAGAAGCACATCCTCCTTCAACTACTGAATCAATGAAAAATTTACTTTCACTCGGAGTTATTGATGTGTTTGTAAAAGACATTGAGAGTAACATTGATAAACATATAAATTTATATTGTAAATTGGTACCTCACGATTTAGATTCATTATGGAAAAATTTTAATGATGAATATAAACAGACTGTTGTTATAATTAAAAAACTTCAGTTCTTTGACTTTTTAAGCACAAAACTTAACATGAAAATGAATTCAATTTTTTTAGAAAAATATTTCAATCTTGGGTTTTTTTATGACGCAAATACTCAGAAAATGTCTATACCTACACGATATTACGACACAGAAATAGGTATGTTTCAATTAGAATAAAATATTATTTTTTTTTAATTTATTAATAGGTACTATAATTGGACTTGGATATCCGTTAATTCGTGTATTATTATATATAAACATATAGGTAATATTAAATAAGAGTGACATATTAATTTCTTAAATTCATTAAATTTTATTAATTATTTGCAAATCATTACTACGTCATGTAAATAAGATAACGTTTACACAGTCAGAGTAATGATAAGAATAACACAACTGACACTTTATCTCCACTCAATATTTAAAAAATTATAACTTCCGAAATATCGGATCTAAAGTCGACAGTAAAGTTGCATTAAAAAAAAAAAGACAGCCATATAAGGCATAAAGGATGTATTAAAAATATGTTAATAACTAATAAGTTCAGAAATTTATGAAACTAAAAAACACCAAAAATGATTTTCTTAGCATAATTATTATTTTAAGAAAAATCAAGTGTAAAAGAGTGGCTTATGAGTTATTCATTTAATATCCATCAAATGGCTATCAAATTAATCACCTAAATTTTGTTACTTCAATTTATCATAAGCCATTGATAATTGCAACATTTTTTTTTGAAAGGGCAGCTTCCTGTCTTTTAATATACAAATTGGATTAAAAGTTGCAAAACTATATTTATAAGACATTTTAACATAAATATATTTTTTTTTTTATAAAAAAAATGGGGTAATTACCTACTTCTCACTACTATAGAACTATACTGAACTATCTGAAACATAGACAAATTAAAAAAAAAACAGAATTGAAATAGAAATATAAAATTATGACACAAAAAATTATGATTTTTTACACCAAAATACATTTTTTGTCTAAATTGATAAAAGACAAGGTCTCAGAACAATGTTTTTTTTAAATTATAGTTCATAACACAAGCTTTAATTTTATATATGTTTAAAGCTCGTAGTATTTTAGAAACATGTAGAAAAACTTAAGTTTTTCTATATAAATTTGCTATTTTGAATCTGCCCCTGTAGGCAAGTAAAGGATCAGATTAACGATAAGTTTATTTCTGATGTAAGGAAAATATTTAAGTTATTTATATTGAAAAGTTCTCTTAATTCATTCATTTTTTAAAAAATTATGACAGTTTTAATTTGTATAAAAACGATGCGCCGTTATATTTTTTACAAAAATTACATTTTTGGCTGTCATTTGCACATAAAAAATAAGTCATCAGGATAAATTTTTTTTGTTAATTATAATACCTAATATTAGCATCAAGTTAACATATATTTGAAGCTCAGAGTATTTCCGTAACATTTTTAAAAGTTAAGTTGAAAAAGTTGTACTTTTTATACGTATGTTTCAAGTTTTGAAACCCCTGTATAAAGAAAAATGGTTCTGTTTAACAAAAAAATATAAAAGAGGTTTACAGAGTGTTCAGTAAATAAGGAAATAGGTCAATTGTTACATGAGACACAATAGTAATCCGTTTCCTTACTTACTGAACACTCTATATATAAAATATTTATAAAAAAAGTTTTGAGAAAAGGAGATAATAAAAAAATAAACACATCATGGTAAAATTAATACCCTCATAGCTTCGTATCAAAGCTAAATTATATGTATACATTTTATCATTAATGGTAATAATTATTATGAATGAGAATAATATATTTTAATTAACACAATTTTTTTCAAACAGCTTGTTTTAGTACAATGTTTGAGTATGAGTCACATTATGGCATTCAAACACAATTTGATATTGAAGCAGGTATGGAATTTTATGAAAACTATTATTATTTTAGTACTTGATGATTTATAAGTTCTTTAAAAGATAATAATGTCAAAATTTATTAATTTTTTCATTATATAATTTAAAGATCGTAAATTTATTAAAATATTACTACAAAAAAATCTGTATAAACACTATTCATAATTTTAAAATATCCTCGACAGAAACATTTGTAATTTTTTATATTTCAGAAACGTTAAATAAAAGTAAAACTGAAGAAATACCAGAATTTATTAATCTCATAGAAAAAGGTAAAGTAATGCTAATTTTACTAATATTACTAAGAGAATCAACAATAGAGAGAACAGCTAAATTAGATTTTTCAAAAATGTTATTAATTATAACATTTGTTTACTGGTATACAAGTAGGTCAATAGTATAGTAAGTCATATAAGTAAAGTAATAGATAAATTTAAGTATATTCAAGTATTAGGAAAGAAGACCCGTGTTAGCCAAGAAACTATTTTTTGTGCTTTCAAATTTTAGCTTTCTATTGTTATTTTGAAGGGGTTAGTGACAGTAGCCACAAAAAGTGCAGTCCCTTTATTAAGCTGTTTTCGATACGTTATTGTCGATTGTACAAAATTGTGTTTTTTAGTATTACAATTGTACTTGTATTTAATGTATTTATTTTATATTTTTAATACTTCATTTAAAAAAAATGTTTTAACNTAATATATTTATTTTATATTTTTAATACTTCATTTAAAAAAAATGTTTTAACGTTATTATTTTTATAAACAAAAATTCATTACTTAGTAAAATATTTAAATTCTAGAAAATTGTAAATTTAGAATTTTTTTATAATTGAGTATATTTTCATGTATGTGAAGTAGGTAAATATTCTTCATAATATTTTAAAGTACATAAAAAATTGCCCCAAAAGTTAATGTACGATGATCAATCAATAATAATATAAATAGTATGCAATTTTCTTATGTATTTAATTTTGTCAAAATTTTATTTCGAAAATAAATATTTTTTTTTTATAACGCTCAGAAGAAAAATATTCTGCTTCGTCTCAAAACAATTCTATAAAAGAAGGTAAGTTTGAATTATTAATTAAATAGGTACACATTTAGAAAGGTCCAATTTAAAAATGAACTCCTCCAAAATTTCCGAAAAATTACATGTATAAATATATAAAAATAATTTTTGGGAAGGGTAATTGTATATAATGAGCTCCTCCAATATTTTTATTGTAATTGCGTCTACGTGATTTATAAGTAATTTCATATAAACCTGTAGTCGCAATTAGAAATTAGAACATCATCATTTTTAAATATATGTTTGTTTAAATAATTTTTTATTATATCATTTGTTCTTTTTATTCAGGACTACACCCCGATGATGCTTTAACTGAAAAAAATGTTGAATTTATTGAAATTGACGAAAATAAAACTAAATATTTTAAATTTTTTTATTAGTGACTAACCAATTTTTTCAACAATTCTCTTGAAAAATATTAAACATATTTTAACTTAAATATATGTCACAAAAGTTTTTAAATTAACATTATATTATTTATTTTATAAACATTTCTGTATGTCTAATTGATCATTATTATTATTAATAAAAACAATTATTGTGTTAATAATTTAATTTTGAAATATTTTATCAAAATAATATTCCACTTTTAGATTATTTAAATCTGGGGGGTTTGAAAAGGGCTATCAACCCCAAGTAAAGATAAAAGAATACCAAACATTTTCAAAAAGTTATAAACAATAAACAGAGCAATAGTTTTATCATAAACCATTTAATTACTCACAAAAAAATAAAAATTGAAAACAAAATTTATTTGTTATATACACAAGGTTACAAAACATTTTTTGTTTTTAATTACGTATATTTCTTGATTTATTAGCAATTAATTGCTTTTTATATTCATTTCTTATAACTTAAATAAGTATCAACTAACAATAACAATATAAATAGAAACTTTTATTTCCACGAATATTTTGTATAATTTTTATTGTATTTACAGTTTTCGACTACGTTAAAAACATATTTGGTAAAATAATTCTCTAATAAGAAAAAAATTTAATTAAAATATTTTATTTTTTCAAAACTCGTACATTTTTTACAATATGACTTGATATTGTATTTTTACTGCTAATCCCATTAAATTGATAATGATTAACTATATTAAATTTGTTTTATTACAATAGCTAAAGAACACAGGACGATTAAAAATTATTTGACATATTGAGTCCTATTCAAATTAAAGGTGTACTCGATGATGGTATTTTGTAGTAATAGAAAGAATATTACGGCCGTGAAATGTTTAATTACAAAAATAGCAGCAGTACCCTTACTTCACATCCAATAATTACTTTAAATTGTTATATTATTATCATAATATAATGTACACCATGTAACCGTATGTGTTAATAATATGTTAAAATGACTAATAGTTTGTTAATAACAATAAATTTTATAATATTTTCATATTAATTAATAGACTAAGAATGAGTGATATGTGTCATTATTAATTTGATACATTATATAATTACTTCATTTGCGATCAATGGAAGAGCGAAATTGTTCACCAAATTTAGAAAACTTAAAACAAATATCGTTATATTGTGATCAGTAACAACTTTATGATCCGTTTACAAGCAGAATTTAATTATAATTTATGCGAAACGCGCAAATGTCCGTTTTCAACTCGTTTTCACAAATAAAACGACAAACTTTTTGTCTGCGGATTAGTGTTGTGGTCCTTTGTTAGTGTCTCCATTAATATTTTATACTCTACAAGCCTAAATCAGTTAGCACACAACTCTAACCATAGTAAAACTAACGCATAGGAAGATGGATTCACATATTAATAATACTACTAAACAATGATATGTAGATAAGAGTAACGTATTGGAGAACGGTCTTCCACATTCGGTTAATTGGTTAACATATAACATAATTTATTGTTGTATCGATTTCATTGCATTGCTGTTTCCACGACACTATTTTATTTGTAACATTAACTATAATAACAGTGCGTGTAAATAAATCGACGGCAGTTTCACCGAGTTGGACAAACTCTATACGGCGTCTATAAGAAGAGTCTGTACTTTGTATTATCTGTAAGGGTATTTTGGTTTTTTTTTTTATAGAGCCAAGGGTTGGTAAAAATGGCGAATAAAAATGTTGCACGGTGTATTACAAGGGTATAAATAGGACGCGCGTGTCCGAGTACAGATGACTTGGAAAGTGGGAGAGCGTAAGTCCTTTTGAATTCCGAAATTGATTCGATAAGAATCTGTGCGGACCGTTACCATGACTACTGTCGACTTATGAAATGGACAGTTTTTCGACCAAATGTACCTTTATCCCCACCCATCCCAGCCCTACCCCCTTAATAGCACATCCTATATCGTTCCCTTTAATTCAATTGAGAAATCTGTTTTCACATATAATAGGATCATAGAAAACACGGCACCAATACAAAAACACAATAGAATTATATTGCATCATATGAAAATAAAAAGTCCAGTCGATAATGTTTTCTTCTTTTTATCGTACAACTTGAGTACTAATGTTCTGATTGTTGAATGATAAATAACATTCACACTATTCGCGCGCATAAAAATTATTTGATTTGCTTATTTTTATACGGCAACGGAAGAAACTAATATTAAAAGTATTGTCGTATAAAAACTATTCGATGTTTGAATATCACACAAACGCCGATTTTTTTTTATTCAAATATATTTGTGCATTTAGGGATTCCTGTAGGAGGTATCCCTCTTGAAAAGTATTGCTGATCTTATGTAATAAAAATACACATAATTATGAGTCATTTGATTTTTTCCAGCGTTTCAATAAAATGTTTTACGAATAGCAATGGCTAATTATAGTAAACATGTTATAAAGTAAAGAATATTGCGTTTTATTTATTAAAAAAAATTTATATTAAAATTAAAATTATTTTTATGTCTAATGTTATAAAAAAATTTAAGCCATTGTAAAGATGTTATTCAGAACAACTGTAACAACTACTTTTCAATTTAAAATATACATAATAACATAATAATAAATATTAAATACCTATTATTACTATCTCTATAGTGAATATTAAAGCAAAAAATTAATGTTCGGTAGTATTCAGACCTTACAAAAAAGTTATGCAGCGGGGAAAAAACAATTCCAACACATTTAATACACGCTTTGATTCGATAATCATTAGCTTTTTCAAGTTAAACTTAACTTTTACCACTATTAGTGTCGTAAAAAGACAATTCACGAACTAATATAATTATTTTGTGTTTGGATTTCCTAAGACGTGACGTTCACGTGACAGACATTACGTATGGAACACTGCGTAGAAAATAAAATAGACAGTAAAAAACAATGAGAATGTAAAAGTTTTGCAACAGGAAAACAGCAAATAAAAACGCAACTTTTAGTATTTATATAATTTATTATTTAATTATTTTTAATGGATAAAAATTAATATTCATAATAAAATTATTGCCATGATATAATAGTAGTGTTTAAATAAACATTTTACAATCATCATAAATATTAGGTACATGCTTTTTTTGTCTTGTTTTTATTGGTAAAATTTAATTAACCTTACAAATAAGTGCAAACGACAGTAATATCCAATCATACCTTTCACTAAATAAATTACGTTATCAACAATAATTTCAATTTATGTACACCGTTTGTATAGAATATAATAAATATATTTTATTCACATTTTAATTACATTTTTTTAAGCCACCGAAATAAAAATAACACAAACGTCGTAAACTGTAGAAATGTTTATAAAGCTATTCACAAAAACCAGTCATTGTATTATTGTAATTGCAGAGGAAAGCATTGTTTACATTTCGCAACACTATACAGGTTTCAAAAAAATTATAATAAATAAAAACAAATATAAACAAACAATAATTATTGGCAATACTGCGAGACTCGCTGCAATATCACACAATCGTTCTAACTATAAACACTAAGACCTAACTGCGACCTTATTCGTTTATTTGTATGAAATGACTAGAAGTGTTGAAATAATTTCAATAATCCATTTGATCAATGTACATAATAAAATAGTGTAGTAGTGGTGAGTGTGTACCTCCCGAGACGCGACCCATTTCAAAGCAATTAATCATGAGTCTTTAAGTCTAAGGTACCGGAGTGGCCAACGGTTGGCCATACCTGATGCTATATGCCGCCGCCTCCATAATGTGCGGCTAATTCTCTTTTGAGTCGTTTGGCCGCACTTTCGTCCCTCGTGTCTTCATCTTCGTCACTCTCGTCGGCTGCCTCTTCTTGCTTCCTCTTGGCAGTAGCCATTTCGGCGGCGTGCTTTTTTCGCCACTTGGTTCGCCTGTTTTGAAACCAAACCTGAAAAACAAAACGCACCCCGTTAAACATACGCTCAATAATGTTGCCTTGTAAATAATTGCCATTGTTCGTTGTATATTTTCCACATAATTAAAAGAATAACACGGAGAATAACGATTGCAGGGTCCCATTATTTTGTAGGTTTTCCCGCGGCACAGCTTTCGCGTTGCGGAGCGGGTGGGACGTTAAAACTTTATAATAATATCATAGCGCTGTATGCGATTTTAATTATAAAGTTAAACCATTTGCGGGGGGGGGGGGGCTGCGCGGCCCGTAATTAAGACCGTCCGGGGGCCGTTTGTGCCGGTATATTTGCAAATTACGCGGTATTTAGGCGTCCATGTATTCACCATTAATCAACCCCCGGGCTTTTGCAAAGGTCGTTAGACGGTCTTGTTTTTAATAACCGCATTAAGACGCGACGCCATCTGGACCGCGCGCGCGTTCTCCTCTTCTTCCGATGTAGCTCCTTCCGTTTCCTCCACCCGATCGCTGTTCCTTCTCGTTCCACCACTCACAATCGTCCGTTTCGTTACAACAATAATCTCGGCGTCACATCTTGCAACGTCTTGCGAATACCGCCCTCCTCCTCCTCGCGACTCCGTAGATCCATCTCTATCTCGTTACACCTCCTACTTCCTCTCCGTCAACGGCACCGTATTCGATAATACTACTAATTGCGGGACGGTTTGCTTTACAAGCTGATGAGATCGAAACTACAGCGTGCAACACAATAATATCGTGTTACGGAGAAGGTGAGTAATTCGCAATGCTGCCAACCGGATGCAATAAACGCAAGTCATTGCGTTATTAGCTTCCGAAGTAGTGCTAATGTACCACAAATAGAACAGTCAGCGGATAAGTCGATTTGGAAGAGCTGCACAGCAGCAATAATAACGTTTGCGTACAAATTACTCTGATATGATTAAACACTCAGTAAAGGCGATAAAAAAGTAAAATGGTTGCGGTAAAACGAGTATGAATAGACGGTTTTAATTTTAAAGCGCATTTAGTGTTTTTACGTTGCACATTGAAATTAATTAACGACGCACGGCGCAAAGTATTAAAGGAAATTAAATCGGATGAAAATTAAAAGCGGCTCTCAGAAGTGAATATTAAACCGCATAATCTGCGACCTGGCATTAATAACAATAACAATAATAATAAAAATACACGAAAACTGTCATTTTTATGCGCCACAACGGAAGACGACTTTACGTTTTTTTACAGTACGTGCCTTTACCTCAACACATTCGCAATCATTTTTACTCTTGTCCCACGTATTTTTTTTTGTTTGTTACTACCGTCGTTTTATACATTTAAAATAGGCGGCCCAAGTGCTCTCCAGGGCGTTTGTCATTTAAATAAAAGCGAACGCAACGTGCGGTTAAAAACTTTTTTTTAACCCGCGCACTCCCCGGTGCCCTTTACCGGCATGGTATTAATTTACATTTTGATTCTATACTCCTACGGTATATTGCACTTGAATAAACCACCGAAACAACGGGTTCTGTCATTGAAACAAAAATTAATAGCAACGATATTGTGCTATAGTTCACAAGAAATAAAACAGAAAATTGTTTTTATTTTAACACTTATACACTTGGACTTGGATGTCGTTATTTGAAATGTTGTGAAACCATTTGAAACGGTGTAGAAGTCGTTCGACTTCGAGAGCCACAAAGGGAATGGGACATTATTTTTATTTGCCTCGTATTGCGGCGCCTACAAATAAACGAGCTTACGACAGAAGATTATACGAAAATCCTATTGCTGATTAATTGCAATCGGACATTGCTATTATACTACTCCCGCAGCGTCCGTATAAACGCAGACAATTCGTTATATTATATTGTATCCGGTTAATTAGTCGCGTAAAACGTGCAACGTCTCATCTCTTCGGCGTTTCTGTTTGCGCATTTTAATTGCACGGCACACTGAACGCGTAAAATAACAACAACAGTATTGAAACGTTAATTAACCGAATCAAATCGGGTCTGTGTATCATAGAGACATTAGAGATTAATAATAATTAGCCGATTGCCACCAAACAGTGTTTAGAGATAAGCAGCGCACCAATACCGCGTACACAATATATATATATATATATTGTGCAAAGGCTTAATGCACAACACGGACCGTAAAAGAGACGGAGGTCCAATTATAGTCGGACTGATGATAGGGCAGTCACTGCGGGTTCGCAGATTAGACTGCCCTTGTAAATGATTATAATCATTATTCCAACCGTTGCAAAGTTATTGGGACCGATGCGAAAAAAGGCCCCACTTTAGATATAATAAATAAAATACATAATTTCGGGAAAAAAAAATTAGATAAACATTATGCGCGACGGGGCAAAGGGGCGATAAATCACTGACGCGGAGCCGTTAGTTGTAGGTGCGGTAATCTGATTATGTCATGAGGGTGTTTTTCGGATGTGCGATTCCTCGTCATGAAAAAATAACGCTGATGTATGCGCGTCAGAGTCAAACGAGTAACCGCCGGCCCATGTAAAAACGCCAATCGGCTAATCGCTGCTCCCCCCCCCCCCCCTATTACAATAGATTTATTGTCGTACGCCGTTGTATTACGTACAGAATTTTTGCGATAACCCCAAATTTATTAGGTTGCACGCCAAAAAACTTGTCAGCCGACACAACTATTTTGTGCGGCGCAATTGATTTACTCGGTCGCGTCGTGAAAAAAACTGTATAAAAAACAAAACGCACCACAGAGATATTTTATTACGACAATAGTATGGAAAATAACTCTTCTGACAGATAGTCGAAAATCGTCAGTGATTCCCACCGACACTATTTATAATTACTGCTAACGGTTGAGATTGGTTGTTGTGCGAATCGACCATTTTTATGTATTGATCAGAGCGCATGAGAAATTCTTTCAACTTACAAACGACTCGTGATGGGCAGAAGTGTAGGGTGCGACTTTGGCGGAGTGGAGGCGGCGCCGGGGGGGGGGG